TTCGTTAAATGTATGCTTTTAAGGGTGCCTAATTTATGCCTAGTGAGTTTATATACTGAACTGTCATTGTCTCAAAAGTTTGTGCATTTATTATGTGTTAAATTTGAAAAGACTTAACTCTTTCCCTTATTAAGCTATCATAGAAATTACATAGAGTACAAAATAATAGTACTCAACTGACTAGTAAAACAAGTCTTAAAAATTTGTAATTGCAATAAATTTAGTTTTGGATAAGTAAAACGATGTGATAATTTAATAAAAGTATTATAAACCATTTAGGTAATAGAATAACTGTCACATCTGGATCTTAAAGTGTGATAAATCTATCCATTCAAAATCTTGCTTTTTTCCTTATATGCTGTGCTTTATTTTAATATCAGAGCTGTGTGGGAAGACATGATCTTGGCTTTTGGAGATTCTGTAGGAGAAATTCTTGCTTATACTGAAATGTGTCTGTCTGTCTGTAGATCTCTTGGAGTTACCTGCTTTTTCCAAGTGTCCTGATGAATCTTTATTTATTTTAATGGAGAGAAGAATTAACAGGTTTTTGGGAAAAATATTAAAGATTGTTACTAATAATGTTGTGTAACATTGCAGAGAATTGGGAATGTGTTCTAAATTTCAGTAATTTCTCTAACCTTTTAATGGTAAGACATTTTCTAAGAAATCATGTGTTCTTGTTTTTGTCTGATTAAAGGAAAGTTTTTAGATATTTGAAGTCATGTTATTTTCAGAGATACAGCAAGAAATTCTTACCAGCTTTTTGCATATTCCTTTTAAACAAATGTAATTATTGGACTTCACTACTCACTGGCTATGGAGATTGAATGTGAGGGAAGAATGAAAGCTAGTTGTATAGTGATTTAAGCCATTCTAATTGATGCTGTTTATTAAGTGATTTTATTTCTTATCTGCCGTCTTTATCCAGTTCATGTTAATAAAGTTTAATAGCCCAATCAGCGAGGTCTTTAAAGAAAATAAGAACTTACATTCTGTAAATGAATGTTGAGCATGACTTACTAGAAAATTAGTACACAAGAAGAAATTTGAGTGGGAATAAGAATTTATGAACTGACATTTCTGCTTCAATGTTAAGTATTCTGAGGCTGACTGAACTTTGTATTTAGAATTTTAGTAATTTTAGAATTGTTAGCAATCATAGAAAACTTGAAGTTTTTTGTTAGTTCGCCAAACCTTTTTGTCTCACAATTCCCTTCACCATCTCCAGCCAAAGTTCCCTAACACTCAACTGTGGAGTATCTTATTTTCGTGGGACTTGTTGAGAACCAGGAAGTAAACATAGAAGTTTCTGAACCAGACAAGCATTTACAGGGCTTACACAGTAAGGTTTATATGCTTTTTTCCTTGTTACATGTTCCATATTGTCCAAACCAAAACTTGGAACATAAAGTAAAAAGTCTGGTTAGGGAATTGAAGTTATTTACGGTAGAAGTGGTAAGTTAGATGTAACTGTTCTTATAGGCTTATTGTACATTTGAATGGGTTCTCATTGTCCTTAGCAGTTTGCAGTGCCTTCTTTAATACATTTGATTGAATTCCACTAATAGTTAAATGAACAGAGTAGTAGGCACTCAAATATTTGGATTAATCTTTTTTAGAGCTTAATTTCTAGCTGTTTAAAATGTTCACTCCTAAAATGGGATTGTGAGAAATAATTATTATAACAAAATAATATCCTATAGTAACAAATCTAACTCTCCTCAATTCTGAGACCTGCTTTGCACACTGTTGTCACTTTTTGGGTTATCTTCTGTAGCATCTGCTTCTGTACTAGTCTTCCTTTTCTGGAAAATGCATACATGAGTTCACTCAACAAATACTTAGCCAGTACCTAGGCCCTAAGGAATAATGGCAAACAAGATAAGTAAGATCACTGTTCTCCCAGTACTTATATTCTAGTAAGGAGATTCAAATAGATTTTTTTTTTAATGCTAGGATAATTTTAGGTGTGATAAATGCAAAAAAGGAATTAACAGATTTTGAGATGGCGTAATTGGCAGTGGTGGTCGTTGCAGCTTCAAGGGCAGCGCCAGCAGCAACTGTTTCAGCAGTTCTGGTACCCCGAGGTTAAAAAGAGCTGGGGTTAGGTGGAGGGATGGAATGCATTCTGGCAAGTACAAAGGGAAGAGCTTGGTGAAAATAGACCAAAGAGACTAGAGTGCAGGGAATGGGGAGGAAAAATGAGCTGGGAGAAAGGAGCAGAAGTCAGGTGGCATAATCCTGGAGAGTTGGTAGGAAGAAAGTGCCATTTGTAGAAGGACATTAAGCTGAGGAAGAGACATGCTGTGGTCCCTCTGGTTTCTGCATGGGGAATAATCTATAGGGCACCAAGAGTGGAAGTGGGGAGCCCAGTCAGAGGCTTGTGCATTGGTTCAGTTGTGAGATCATGAGTGGTAGAGGTGAAGAAGAAAAGTGCTTGGATCAAACATAGTATTTAGTAATTGGATGTGGAAATAAGCAAAAAGGAGGCATGGAGTGTGACTCTAGACTCTTGGCTTAAGCCATAGGTGGGGAATTCTTGGGCTAGAAAATCAACTGAATAATTAAATACTATTAATTGAATAATTAAATACTATTATTATTCAATATCTAGCATGTTCAATATCTGGCCCTCTATTAATTTGAGCTGCCTGTTAGATATCCAAAGAAAGATGTCAAATAAGCAGTTCAATAAATTTATTTGAAGCCCCAAAATTAGGCCAGGTTGAGAGAGAGCAATTGGGAATCATCCTTGAAACTATAGATTGCCAAGGGAGAGTGTAGTGGTCCTTACTCACTGAGAGCTGGTTAGTGCAGTTTTAGTCAATCTGTATCTGGGTAATGATAGTGGTCATCTGAATATTAATGCTATGTTGGTCCAGATTAAGAAATTCTGCTCTAAGAAAGAATAGTTTTTCAGACCCGATTGACTTCTGTTGATATGTTGATTAAATTAAATGAAGGATTGTTTTTTAAGCTGTTAATCTTAGTCAATGCTTTCCTTTCAAAAATTCTTTACGTTGGTTGCATAGTCTAAGTATAATGAGGCTTTTGGCTAGGAATTAAACTTTGTCACAGGCTGTCTAATCTATTATAGTGTATCTTGGTGAGTTAACGTCTACTTACTAATTTTCGCAATAGCCAAATGCTTCCTCCACTTCTCTTTTGTGATAATATACAAAGATTACAAAGTGAGGACAAAACTATTAAAAAAACTCTTAACCCACTATTTGTAGACAAAAGATGGGGAAGGTAGGTATCAAAATATTAACACTAATTATTTTGAGCCATACGATAATACTTGATTTCAGTTTTCTTTAAATATTCATCTTCCATGTTGTTAGTGTTATAACCTTTAAAAAGTAAAATATGTATTAAAATACTGTCTAAAAATTAGTTTTACTTCATAGTTAGTAGGTAATGTTTTAAAACAAAATATTTGAGATTATATATTAGACTGGGTGTGGTGGCTCACACCGGTAATCCCAGCACTTTTAGAAGCTGAGGTGGGTGGATTGCTTAAGCCCAGGAGTTTGAGACCAGCCTGGGCAACATACTGAAACCCCATCTCTACCACCAACAAAAAAAAGATACAAAAATTAGCTGGGTGTGGTGGTGTGCACTTGTAGCCCCAACTGCTTGGGATCCTGAGGTGGGAGGATGGTTTGAATCCAGGAGGTGGAGGTTGCAATGAGCTGAGATTGCGCCACTACACCCCAGCCTGGGCAACAGAGCCAGACACTGTCTCAAAAAAAAAAAAAAAAAAAAAGATTTTGTATTAGACAGGTATTTGAAAAACTGATTTTGCTTCATAAAAAGGAAAGGCATAAGCTGGGCATAGTGACATGTGCCTATAATCTCATCTACTTGGGGAGCTGAGGCAGAAGAATCATTAGAACCTAGGAGTTCAAGATCACCTTGAGCAACATAGTAAGACCCCATCTCAGGAAAAAAAAAAAAAAAAAAAAGGGAAAGGAAAGATATAAAGGAATTTGGAGGAGCAAAGAAAAATAACATTTTTAATTTGAATTCTAGCATTCACTCTAACGGACAAATTTTCTACTTGGTGATTAAATGGATGTTCACTAAGGATATTTCTGAACTTTTTTCTCTATATTTTACCTTATGGATTATTGATAAGAAATATACTTTAATGCTGGTTGCAGGGTAATCCCAGCACTTTGGGAGCCTGAGGCGGGTGGATCACCAGGTCAGGAGATCGAGACCATCCTGACCAACATGGTAAAACTCCGTCTCTATAAAAATGCAAAAAAACTAGCCTGGTGTGGTGGCGGGTGCCTATAGTCCCAGCTACGTGGGAGGCAGGGGAATTGCTTGGACCCGGGAGGCGTAGGTTGTAGTGAGCCAAGATCCCACCACTGCACTCCAGCCTGGTGACTGAGCAAGACTCCGTCTCAAAAAACAAAACAAAACAAAACAAAACAAAAACTTAAAAAAATTTAATGACAAGACAGTTGTAAAATGTTACTCCAACTAGGAAAAATAATTCTTGAAGGACATATATGTATCTAAAAGTTATCCTTTCTAATGGAGCTTATCAGTCCTTTGCTTAGATTGCATGGAGTAAATTGCAAATAGAGTTTATGAATCTGAGAACAAGAGAGAAGCAAATCCAAGTGGAACAAAAGTCATCTAACTGCCTCTAAAAGTATTAGTTTATCTTTGATCATCAAGTAGCCGTATGCAATGTGTTCAAAAGCCATCAAAAATATAAAAAACTTGAGCTGTAAAACATAAGATTTTAAGATCCTGGTGACTACATGATTCAGAAAACATAATGCTGTATTTAGTATTAAGGGCAAATTATAATTTTCTGATATTGGGCTTTCTAGTTCAATTTTAACTTGTAGGTTTCACAGGTAATCATTAAAATATATTTTCAAAAAAGCATATTTTCTATGGGGCTTTTAAAAACATAATATTAGAACATCATGTGTAATATATATTAGTAAAGCAACATTTCTTTTGTTTTAATATAGCTTGCATTGAAAGGCTCTAGCTACAATGGACTTCTTGAACGACATCATATTCACACCAAAAATGTAGAACATATTGTAGATAGTTTACGGTAAGTCTATGGGATTGGTTCTTGGGTGGGATTTTATATTCAGGACTTCGAGTTTTTATTTTGTACTAGCAGCCCATTCTTAGACTTTTAGTGATGATTGTTATTATAAAATTATTTTCAGAAAATTATATTGAGGTTAATGGATTTGGTTTTATAGCATCTTTAAGGAAATATTTATTGTACTCTGAAAATGTCACAGATATTTTCAATTATTTTGTCTTCCAGTGAAATGCATTTCCTGCAGAGTTAATTCAGTAATCAGCTGGCCTCAGCTGTGTACAGGGTGGGGTATGCTTGTTAAACTGTGTAATGTTTTATTTATTAAAACAGACTAATAGATTATATGAGTGTGTGCATTATGATACTTTTGAGTGTTTAAAAATTATAGAAACTTCTGTCTTAAAAATTACAGAAACTTCAGTTAAGTCAGGACGAAACGCACTTAGGTGTGTACAAGAGAGTCAGTGTGAGAAACGTGCAAATTACAAAGTATTTAGTTACTGTTTCAGTGTCTGGTACTCAATGAATATTTGTTGGATTTAAAATAATGGCCTTCCGTTTTATAGTTTAAAATTTGTCACTCTAGATATTAGTCTTCTGGACCATTTTTGTATTATGAATTTAAGCATCAGAAGGAGTAGAGAAAATGAAATTCTAACCAATATTGCTATCCATTAGTGGTTATAAAAGTTTTTAAAGCACATGGAGATTTGGGATATATAACTTTCAGTTTATTCATATGCTGCCTTAATTATCATAGTTAATTGGCTGTTGTAATTAAATGAAAAACAAAGATAATGTTATAAAGCTCCATGTAAATTTGTTTATGATACAAATTTTTTATTTTACATCTTTATTGTAATAATCTGTCTCTCAGAAAACATACCCATTATATATATTATTAGTAGAAATTTCATATAACCTTTCCTTTTTTATCCTAGGAATGAGGGAATTGAGGTTCGTCTAGTAAAGAGGAGAGAATATAATGAAGAGACTGTTCGATGGGCAGATGCTGTCATAGCTGCAGGAGGTAATAATTTTATAGAAGTAAAGATGTTGGAATTTACAGATGTTGTTTAATACAACTTATTTCCAGATACCCTAGGTCTAGCTAAGACTTGACATTAAACAAATTTTTGGATTGCTATGATTAAGTTTAAAACATCTGTTTTATACAAGTCTACTTTTTAAATGGATGATGTTACTGTGAGGTTCCTTGTATGTATTTAAGGTATGCATTTAACTTCAAATATGATTCAAAGGATCAGTTATTGTATTTTGGTATTATGGCAGTTTTAAGGAAAAAAATTGAAGTTGATAAAGTATTTAATGAGATGAGGTAAATTCTATTCCTCTTTGGTCCCAAATACTTATACTTACTTTTTTCTGTACTTTATCATTAAGTTAATGACTACTGTTTCTAAAGCTTCAAGTTGACAGCAGCTATTGGAGAGAAAGATTTTAAGATGGATACATTGGATATGTTTTCGTTAAAATAATTTGTGAATTTGGACTGGTGTTATGGGAAAAGCAAAGAAGACTGGCTAATCGAAATTTCTGGATTAGAGTAGTGGTTACCAACTGTGGGGTGCTACTGGTATCTAAAGGGGATACCTCTGAAACATTCTACAGTGTCCCCACAACAAAGAATTATTCTGCCTAAATCTAATCTTGCCACTTATGAAATCCTGGATTGGAGTGAGAGGGAGACTCAAAAGATATAGTAGGTAGAAAGGGAGTGGGATAGGCTATGGCAGTTAGCAGGGCAGGATATGATTGTTAAAACCACTAATTTTCAAAATGGCCAAGAACCGCATATTGTGTTTTGTCTTGTGTTCCTTAGGTGATGGCACAATGCTGCTGGCAGCAAGTAAAGTCTTGGACAGACTGAAACCAGTTATAGGGGTAAACACTGATCCAGAACGGTGAGAAAGAACATAGACTTTTTGTTTGATTTGTGTGGTGTGTTTTTAAATTTTTTTTCAGGAAAATATAGATGCATTTCTGCTTTGCTTTGCATAGTATCTTTTTATGCTCTATCCTAAAATTTGGAAGCTATTCTTTATTTTCTCTACCACGTTCACATTCCTGGGCTCTGTTGCTACAGACATTTTACTGTGGTGTGTGATATCTAAGTGGAAGCATCATTGTTCCTGGCCACTGTGAATATTAGAACCATGTTCCAGAAACATCCTAATAATGAAATTTAGGTATGTAGAATTGAGTAGGATTGTCTTTTATATAGTTGTTTTCAAGGATATAGCTCTAGTTTTAAGCTCAGGCATGAAAGATATAGATACATCTAGCTGGCATTCTTGGTAGGAAATTATGCTATGGGATGGACCAGTCCTCACGTTTTAGCTTCCCAGGTAGGTTGGGAGTAGGATCTGTGTCATAATAGACCTGAGCTCTTGACCCAGGTGAGTGTTGTGGACCTTTGGTATTGCTGAGGACGGAAAAGGTAATAATGATCCATTTTCTACCCTTCCTTATGGCTTGTATTTATATTCCTCTTTATGCCACCACTGACTTTTTGTGGGGGTGACTTTACTGACTTTATAAAAAGACCTGTCCAGACACTGTTGGTACTTTTTTCTTTCCTTCCTCAGCTTTATTGATATTTACCCTCATTCTGTTCTAGCCATCCACTGCCATGACTTTACTGAGACTTTATGATGATCTGGGATTTCCCTATCTCTGCAATCCTTATTAATTCCACTCTGACTGCAGCCTCCTACCTTAACAGCAGACTTATTACTTTATCCCACTAAATCTGCCCTTTGACTTTCAGTATTTTGATCCCCTCTGTTTTTCTCCACTTAATTCTTCCTCACTTCATTCACTTTCTTAAATATTTCTTTTCTTTTCTTTTTTTTTTTTTGAGATTGAGTTTCACTCTTTTGCCCAGGCTGGAGTGCAGTGGTGTGTTCTCAGCTCACTGCAACCTCTGCCTTCTGGGTTCAAGCAATTCTTCTGCATCAGCCTCCCGAGTAGCTGGAACTACAGGCATGCACCACCACACCTGGGTAATTTTTGTATTTTTAGTAGAGATGGGGTTTTACCATGTTGGCCAGGCTGGTCTCAAACTTGTAACCTCAAGTGATCCTCCCACCTTGGCCTCCCAAACTGCAAATATTTCTTTATCATTATCTTTCTGTACAATTCTAGATCAATCTTTTCTATGTCTGCATCATTACTGCTGCTATGATCATCTGGGGAAAAAAAGTCATACTAATTGAGTTTGATGGCACTTCCAATTTGTAGTCTTCAGCACTTAATTGCTGCACTTAATTGACTCAGAGTTGCACACAAACTTCCTGTGTATCCCTACTCATCTCTCGTCTCCATTCTCTGTGGTGGCTGCTTCAGTAGTTCAACTTTTGCATTCACCTTGGCCTCCCTTATTCTTCCTTCAATTAGCTCACCTATTTTTTTTTTTTTTAAACAGGAATTGAAAGTCACTCGATTAGAACTACTTATTTTCTCCTGCTTAAAAAAATATTGTCCTATCATGTTGTTTTTTTCTCTCTCTCTTTGCACACGATTCCTCTTAGCCTAAAAAGCCTTGTTCAAGACTCCTGTTTTTAAAGAAATTTTAAGAATTCTTTACCCTGTGTCCCTCTCTTGGTTATTAGCTCTTTTCCTCCCACTAATCCCTAAGCTTGATCAAATCTCTACTTCTTCAGTTCTTAGTTACTTTCTAAAACTTTGCAAATTTTTACAAATTTGCCTCCAACCAGTTCATTGACATTGCTTTTGCCTTAGAGACCAGTGATATCCTAGTTATTGAATCTACTGGATATTTTAGTCCTTGTCTTACCTGATTTCTGGGAAGTTTTTGGTGCTAACTGCTCCCTTATTTCAGCTGTACTTTGTTGGCATTTGTAATACCCCTTTCTTCCTATCCCTGTGACTACTTCTTTGTATCTCCGTTGAAGGATCTTACTATTTGGATGCTGCCTAAATACTGGTGTTCTTCTTCAATTCCTGTATTGCCTCCAGAGAGGCTGATTAATACTGTGGTATTGGAGTCCCCTGGGATTCCAGAATCTTTATTCCAACACTGATCTTCTTGCTTCCGTTCTTACCCTTACAGTTTCTTAATTTCTCCTCCCAACTGTAGCCAGTGTGATTATTTTGTGGAAGTTTGATAATATTATGTGACTTCTCTGCCTAGATTTTTTTGTCATGGCTCCCTATTTAACTTAGGATAAAATCTAATTCTATTTATTTATTTATTTAACTATGAATAGGGTGACAAACTCCTCCTAATTTTCTTGGAACTTTCCTAGATTTAGCACTGAAAGTCCTGTGTTCCAGGAAACTGTCAGTCCAGGCAAAGCAGGGAACAGTTAGTCACCTTAAATGTGACATACACACTGTACATTGTCTAGCTAGCCTTTACCATTCTCTGTCCTTATTGCCTATTATTTTTGCCTTCATTCTGTTCTAGCCACACTGGTCTCTACTTTGGATGTATCCAGTGGTATTAAAAATGTAACATCTACAAATAAACTCCTTTCCTCTCTCCCAACATCCTTGATGAATGGAATCATCACCTGTGCTGAAGCTGTAACTACCTTTCCCTCACTCTATCATCAGATTGGTCCTATGTTCTAGGGAACTTACTTTTGAGTCCATCTCTTGCCATCCTCACTGCCACTAAAAATAGCTCAGGCCTTTATAGTTTGTTGTTTAAATTACTGAAGTAGCTTATAGCCTGTCTCCTTCTAATTTCTACTTTACACATTGCCTTAGTCTTCTTTCTAAAGTGCAAATCTAATTGATTATATCCACTCCTTATTAAAGTCTTTTAGAGTTTCCCATATCCTTCAGGATACATTTCAAACTCCTTAGCGTAAGATACATTATCTTTCACTATCTCTCGCCTATTTGCTTTTCTAGTTTCATCTGTCCTCATATGTCCACAGGCATGATACATTCTTTAGCTTAAAAAATGTATTTTTGTTAACCATTCTAGGATCAGCCTAGGATCCTTTCTAAAAGGGTGCTCAAACTACAAAATGTAACTATGTGAGTATCCACCAACATGCTGATTAGAGGCTCACACAGGGATGCTTTTACTCTGTGAGGGAGCTTTGTTGATATGTAAGACCCAGGGCATGATTTGAGAGTAGGTGAAAGAGTTCTCCAGAAGGCCCATGTCCCCACCCTACCCCACCCACCCATGCCTTTGTATGTTTTGTTTTTTTGTTTGTTTGTTTTTTTGTCAAAAGTACCCTTACACCCCTTACTCACTTCTGTGGTTCTTGTTTGTTCAAGACTGGTGTTTCTCCTACATTGTAATTCCCTATACAGAAAGCACATATCCCTATATAGTTATTTTCTATTTAATTATTTGTCTCTTCCATTAGACTATAAATTCTTTGAGTATAGGACCTTGTATTTTAATTTCTTTGGCACTAGCATAGTTTTATATATAGCTGGTAGGTAGTAAACACTTGAAAAATGCATGATTAATTAAACGATTTCAGGGAATAGGGATAGAACCCCAATCTAGCTGAGTAAATATTCTCACACGTAAATACCGAGAATATTGGTTCAGTAAGTAATTTTTGATTGCCATCAATGTTGATGCATGTGGGTTTCAGAACTTCTTAATGGCTTATTTTTATATCATTATGGTAAAAGATTCTTAACCTTAGTGATCATATGTTATACAGCTTATTGAACTATATTTTCTTTTGAAAACTGGTTTTATGTTTATAAATTTGTGGAAATTTTGAAGCAGGCAAGCAGAGATTGTTATTATTGGCATCTGTTCTTTATTTTCTACCTAGAACAGGTTTTAGAAGTCTTTTGGTTTCTCTTCTTGCCTCCAGGCAGATATATTAAGTGGCTTTCTAGTTTTTTGTATACTTCATGTTGTCTGACTTCTTTATCTTAAATATGATGGTGCCTCAGAGTCCTAAAAAAAAGCCCGGAACTTAATGTTCGACTTGTTTTTTTCTCCTCTTTATTAGCTGTAAAATGCTGCATAAAAATTCATTCCAAAACATAGAGGCTTATGACAATAACAGCGTATTATTTCTTATGGTTTTTGCATGTCAGGAGATCAGGAGCAGTTTGGCTGGGTGGTTTTGATTTGAGATCTCTTCTGAGTATAAGCAGATGTCAGATGGGTCTGCAGGCATCTGAAGGCTTGACTTGGGCTGGAGGATCCACTTTCAAGATGGCTCACTCACATGGACCCATCTAAATCAAATGTATAATTTCTGTCCATCTCTTCTGTATTCTACAGCCATTCTACTGAGCCTGGTAAATAATTACATTTGAAAACTTAATATTCAAAATGAGAGAGAGGGCATGTGGTAGTCAGCTTCCTAGTATTTATGTAGCCTTTAATGTACCTCCTTGCCCCCCAATATTTAATTAGAGATGGCCTATATGACTAGGAGAATATGGCGTGAGAATGTATAGATTCCAAGGCCAGGTCATAAATGGTATTGCAACATCTATATTGGTCTTTAAGATTGTTCATTGTGGGGTAGGACAGCTACCACGATGTGAGGATACTCACAAACAACCCTGTGGAGAGGCTTACGTGGAGAGGGATTGAGGCCTCCTGCCAACAGCCAGCACCAATTTGCCAGCCATGTGAGTGAGCAAGCCTGGAGGTGGTTGTGCTAGCCCAAGCGAAGCCTTCAGATGCCTGCAACCCTAGCTGATATCTGACTGTAACCTCATGAGAGAATCTTCTCTCTACAGGGGTTTTAGACTTGCAGTTGACCTCGGCAGGTATTATTCTATCAAATGACTGTTGATACCTTTTATATACTTAACATTGTGTGCAGTATTACAATGAATATAAAAATTTAAAAGCCTAGGCCTACCCTTTCTTAGCCTCAGTGTTGACCTACTCAGATAAAGATATAAACTATTTACAACTTTGTATAAACATTGTTCTCTGCTCTTCACACTTAGAAGTTGGTTTACATTTATTATCAGGAGTTTGTTTGCTAAGCGTACCCTCAGCCTTTTCTTCATGATGGTAGTATCATATAAATGATGATAATTGAGCCTTCTGGACATCTTTAGATGCCACATACTCTCATCTATACCAGCCAATAGGCAATCTTACCACCTTATAATTTGTAGTGATTTGTTTTAATTTGTCTTCCACATGAAGCTGTGAACTCCTTAAAGGAGTTTATTTATATATTTTTGAATAAATGAATGATTACACTGGATTAAGCTTTCTCAGTTCTCTTTTAGGATATCTTAAATGACATTTAAAAAGGGATTATCATTCAAAACATTTAAAATAAATACTTTGATTCCTCAGAATAACCTTTTGAGATTGCTGGTTTATCCTGACTTTGGAGATGAGGAAGCTAATGCTGAAGTGACTTGCCCAAAGTTAATAGTTAAGTGATTTAAAGGTTGAAATAAAAATTTGAAGGTTAATGGTTAAATAATGTAATAATTTGAACACCACTGTACCATTCGTAGTGATTTACAGGGTCATCAGTTCGTGGCAGATTTTCTGCTGTTTTTAGTTTGATTGTAATGTAGAAACTCAAATATTATTGTATATTATGGCATTAAAGCTGGATGTAGACTACTATTTCTGTTTAATCTTTTTGTTTTTGTTGAAAGAACACATTTTGTGGCAAAAAAAATGAAATACAGAGTAGAAATTTTTAGAATTTTATATCTTATTTTTTAGCTTAGTGTGATACCTTTTGATTACATTTTTTTTGCTTCACCATTTTTCTTTTCCTCTTTATATCGACAAAAAATTCCTGTTAAAATATAGGTCTGAGGGTCATTTATGCCTGCCTGTTCGATATACACATTCCTTCCCAGAAGCCTTACAGAAGTTCTATCGTGGTGAGTTCAGGTAGGAATTTCTTACTGTTGTTCTTATATAAGTACTTTAATATGTATGTGCCATTAATAATGCTGTTAAAAACAGAACAAATCAGGCAGGGCATGGTGCCTCACTTCTGTAATCCCAGCACTTTGGGAGGCCGATGCAGGTGGATCACTTGAGCTCAGGTGTTTGAGACCAGCCTAGGCAACATGGTGAAACCTAGTCTCTACAAAAACAAAAATTAGCCGGGCATGGTGGCTAGCACCTGTAGTCAAAGCTACTTGTGGGGCTGAGACAGGAGGATCACTTGAGCCCCGGAGGCAGAGGTTGCTGTGAGCCGAGATCCTGCCCCTGCACTCCAGCCTGGGCAACAGAGTGAGACTGTGTCTCAAAACAAACAAATACAAACAAACCAGAACAAATCAAATAATGTTTGGATTACTCCATAGATATAACAGTAGCCATAAACAGTAATGCATTAGCTGAGCCACAAATAGGTCAAATTTACCTTCTCTTTGTCCAGTTGGAATTGTGGAGAAAACCCCTGACAAATATTGGTTGGCCTAACTGCATAAAGAGATGTTTTTTCTCCTTCAGTGAGATAGCAGCCATGTCTCTACTTTCTTAACGTTATTACATGTCCTTATCAGTAGTGGAAAGGTAATTAAACCTTTGGCTAAAATTGAGTGTTTAAATTTTGAGATTTTATATTTTTTATCTTTATCTCCCATCTAGTAATAATTGAAAGTCGGATTTAATCCAGCCATGCTGAGATTCCTGGTATCTATCTCACATAAAAGTATTTCTTAAGCAGTGGGGATGAGATTTTTAAAAATTTCTTTTACTTAATGTGTTCGGTGGTCAGACCACCAGTAAAAGAGGAAGGTAGAGGGAGGAGCTGATACAGGGTTAGCCGATTATATTTGAGAGAGCCAAGTTAGGCTACTTTTTATTTTTTGAATTGGACTAGATTTTATAGTTGGGAAAGCTTTTCCCAGAGATGTTTGCAAAGTTGTATTAGATCTACTTGACTTTTCTAGAATCATTTTATTACCAATAATTCTAGTTTATAATCATTTCAGAAGTTTGACAACTTTAGAAATGGCTAATTTATAGCTACCAAGTAGAAGTATATTTTTGTATACTTACCTAGCAGAATCTATCCCATTGATTCTCAATACGTTGATTATAAGTTTTGAAATCAATTAAACCTGATTGATTTTTTTCCTTTTACCAGAAATGTTATTTAAATTTTAGGTGTAATCAAAACTGGTTTATTTATTATTTCTTAATCCCCTTTTCCTTTTATTGTTTAAAAAAACTTCCATTATTACAAAATTTGTGGGAAGGGATTTTTATCCAATCCAGCCATCTGAACACAATATTATTTTAATTTAAGAATGCTTTTTTTTGGTATTATAATCTTTTGCTGAGCAAAGCACAAGCTCTGTCTAGCTCAGTATCTTGGACTTTGTGGATTCTTGATAGAGTTTGACTTAAATTACTTTGGAGATTTTGTACAAGCACATTAGTATTTCCATTGTAATTGGAAAGAGAAATATTCAAATCTGCCTTTGATCAGGAAGCTATAGGGTTTAGGTGTTTCTGATATAATTTGTTCATGGAATAACTAGTTTTTTATTGTAACTATTTAATTTGGTTAAATTATTATAATGTCTACTCTTTATTCTATTTTAATATAATTTGCCTTTTCTTCACTTTTCTAAGGTGGTTGTGGAGGCAGCGAATCAGGTTATACCTTGAAGGGACTGGCATAAACCCTGTTCCTGTGGACCTTCATGAGCAGCAGCTAAGCTTGAATCAACACAGTAGAGCCCTTAACATTGAAAGAACTCATGATGAAAGTAGGTGGATTGGGCATCAGATGTGTTTGGGGCAATATTTAACTCATAGTTCCTTTAATCTCAAATTTTTTGATGTAATAATTTGTGATTAACTTATTTCTAGTGTCAGTACACTTAACAAAGTACAGTGAATTATTTCAATTGTAAAGTTTATTATAATTAGAATTTGAAGTAAGAAATATAGCATATTTCTAGAAGAAATGTTTTCTAGGACAGATTTGAAAACTAGCTGATTTAGGGAAGGATTATAAAGTATCTGATAGGATAGTTGATGTTTAAGAAAAGATTCTTGGCCTTAATCTTTGAAATGTCAAAAAAAAAAAAAAAAAGGAGTAGAGATGAAATGAGCTGGTCTGTGGAAGATTATGATGATTATACATTTTATATAGTTATACTTAAATATATTAAATACATTTATTGGGAAATTTTGCATTCCAGCTTTAAGATTTGTGCTTGAAGTGTATGTATAGCCTGCTGAGAGAATATTAGCATAAGGTGATTTTCAGCTTATTTTGTTATAAGGGTTAAAGCGAATTCTCCACTTTGAGCCATATTTTCCAACTTTTTCTAGCAAATGTGGGACTTTAATGATACAAGAATATCCCAAGAGAAACCTTAAATATTTGTAGACTGTATAAAAGGATGCAGTTTTCTCCTGTGTTTTATTTTCTGGATATATTTATTAGGAAAAGCTACGTTTGCATTTCTGCTTTCTGCCTCTGCTCTCTCATGGTACCTGATGTATATATATCCACTTGTTTCAGAGTTTTTCATGGTGACGTACAGCTTTATAGGTTAGCATGTTTCTAAAATGTGTATTTATATTGTGTTTTAAAGATTCTTGTCCCAAAAAACAATTTAAATAGAATTTAAGTTTCTCAAAAGTCATACAGATGACCAACAGCTATATGAAAAAATGTTCAACGTCACTATCATAAAAAATCTTAAGAAATATAAGCACATGAACTTCTGTTACTGTTTTTGAAAGTCTGCAATAAATATTAAGTACAATTTAAAAATAATTGTTAGAAATTTTACTTAATCCCTCCCTGAAGGAAGTTATTGTTACCACCAATAGATGGTAGATTTGACTGTCCTCACCAGCAGTCTTATAAAAATAGAGAGATTGGCATACAAAGAGTCACTGCTCAGATTGACTGTGTTTAGTTTATAAATGAAGTTGATATTTCATATATAGAAACAATATTACATACAAACCTAGTGAATCATAGCTCAGCATCTAGGATGTTCACATCTGATTAATGGTATTTCCAGAAAAAGAACAGAAAAATATTCAAAATGAAAAAATTATACATGATGATTTCTCAAAACAGGCAGGGGAAATTATTCAGCACATTGTTCTAGGCAAAGATTTTATGGCTAAGACTTCAAAAGCACAGGCAACAAAAACAAAATGGACAAATGGAATTATATTAAGCAAAGTCTTCTGCATAACAAAGGGAATGAGAGTGAAGAGACAGCCTATAGAATCGGAGAAAATATTTGCAAACTATTCATCTAACCAAGGACTAATATTCAGAATGTACAAGGAATTCAAACAACAAACAAACAAATAATACATTAAAAAGTGGCAAATTCTCTGAATAGAAGTTTCTCAAAAGTCATACGGATGACCAACAGCTATTTGAAAAAATGTTCAACGTCACTAATCATCAGGGAAATGCAAATCAAAACCACAATGAGATATCATCTGTCCCCAGTTAAAGTGGCCATTATCAAAAAGATAAAAATAACCAATGCTGGCAAGGATGTGGAGGGAAGGGAACTCTTACATGCTGTTTGTGGGAATGTAAATTATTAAAGCCGTTATGGAAAACAGCATGGAGTTTTCTCAAAAATCTAAAATAGAACTCCCATACAATCTAGCAATCCCACTACTGGGTATTTATCCAAAGGAAAGGAAATCAGTATAGCAAAGGGATACTGGTACCCCATGTTTATTGCAGTCCTATTCACAATAGCCAAGGTGTGGAGTCAACTGAAGTGTCCATATAGAATAAATGGATATGGAAAATGTAGTATATATATACAATGGAATGCTATTCAGCCATAAAAGGAATGAAATCCTGTCATTTGCAGCAACATGAATGGAACTGAAGGTCACTATATGAACTAAGTCAAGCATAGAAAGAAATACCACATGCTTTCACTCATGTGTGAGAGCTGAAAAAGTTGATCTCCTAAAGATAGACAGTACAATGATAGTTACCAAAGCTTGGGAAGGGTGAAGGGTGGGATGAAGAGAGGTTTGTTAATGGGTACAAATATGCTTTTAGATGGAAGGAATAAGTTCTAGTGTTCAGTAGCATAGTTGGGTGGCTATAATGAACAATTTATTGTATATTTCAAAATACCTCATTTCAAAATAGCTGGAACAGAAGATTTGAAATATTCCCAACACAAATGACAAATATTTGGGTGATGGCTATCCTAAATACCCTGATTTGATCATTACATGTTGTATGTATGTATCAAAATATTATATGTTCCCCATAAATGTATAGTTAGTATGAATCAGTTAATACTTTTTAAAAATTTAAATTGAGAAACTTAGCCGAGTCTTTGAATTGAAAGGACCCACAGTGTTTCACATAATTAATGGTAAAATGTTCTACACCAAGGTTTGTCAGAATACTGGGTATGAAGCATCTACTGCAAGCTTCCAGAGAGGAGGTGGAGATGCAGGGAGTGGTGACTGGAACAGATTATTTCATATACACGTATCTGAGGGGGATTGGTTCCAGGCCCTGCTGCAGATACCAAAATTCAAGGATGCTCACATTCTTGATATAAAATGGCATAGCATTGGTATATAACCTTCCCTATACTTTAATAATCTCTAGATTACTTATAATACCTAACATAATGTAAATGCTATATAAATAAAGACTGGTTGTGTTAATACAGAGACTAATTGGTTTAATAAACAACCCCAGAACTCAGTAACTGAATGAAAAAGCTTATTTCTAACTCATCTCACTGTCCAAGGGGTTTTCAGGCAACCAGGGTAGGAACCAAAATAGTGGTTGCTACCATATTTTAAGGCCTCTGAGTCTTCCATTGGATCCTCTGCATCTTGTGGGGAGAAAATAGAGAACATAGAAGACCTTATGGGAAGTTTTAGGAACTAGGCCTATTCATTACTTTTGTCCACATTCCACTGGCCATAAATAGTCACATGGATCCATCTAGTGCAAGTAGACCTGGATATAAAGTTTAGCGATATGACAGTGTGAGAGTTATCCACACTGTGGGTATATAGAGCTGGATATAAAGTTTAGCAGTATGACACAGTGTAGCATTTTGTGTCACTAGTTTTGCAATGCTGTGCTTAAAAATACAAATTATAATTTCGTAATCTATTCTCTTGGATAAAAAAGTAATTGGCCAGGCACGGTGGCTCACACCTGTAATCCCAGCACCTAGAGAGGCTGAGGCAGGTGGATCACCTGAGGTCAGGAGTTTGAGACCAGCCTGACCAACATGGCGAAACCCCGTCTCTACTACAAATACAAAATTAGTCGGGCTTGGTGGTGGTTCATGCCTGTAATGCCAGGGAGGCTGAGGCAGGAGAATCACTTGAACTGAGATCACACCATTGTACTCCAGCCTGGACAACAAGAGTGAAACTCCGTCTCAAAAAAAAAAAAGAAAAGTAATTGATATGGAGTGCATCTTTTTAAAACTTCTGCCATTGAGGCAAGTTTTAAATGAACATAGTTGTGTGGTTAAATAAGGTTTAGTTGTCAATTAGTATGATAAAATAAGCAGAATTAGATGATGAAAGAGATTTGAAGCAATTTTATTGTCTGACTTATTTGACAAAAGTTTTGAGTTGAAATTCAACAAGCACATGTAATAAAAATGTAATATGGAGAGAGAAATGGGGACACAGGAAAATGGGAGTAGAGGTGGAAAGTCAAGACCACATAAAAGGAAAACATGGTTACAGTTTGATGGTGAGAGTTCAGATTTACTGATAATATTTCATGAATACCTATTGTTGAGCATTTGTAGGGAATCTATGTGAATACTGATCTAAACAAATTTTATTAGTAATTAATTGAGGAAAAGTAATTTAAATAATACATTTTAGCCATTTATGTTTGTAAAACTGTCAAGAATGAGAATGTGAATATATGTAGTACCTAAGTAAAACGGTTTAAAGCCAGTTTTAGTCTTATGTGCAATCAAATTTGATTAAACCTATCAAATTTATATATATATATATGTATGTGTATATGTATCTATATTTGTATATATCTATATCTTTTTGCATCAATGTTTTTCTACTGTATTATGAAGCTGAGCTGATAATTTAGGTAAACAACAAGTGCTCCAAGGGAACTTGGTATTATAACAACTTGTTATGTTTGTAATAATAATTCGGTTCCCCTTAGGCAGTTATAATCTAAAAGAAATGAGAAAAATGTAATGTTAAGTTTCATAAACATAATAAACAGAAGAATATAATAATTAGGCTACCAAGTCAGAGAAAAAGAATAGATCAGTGTTGTCTTGGTGACAGTGGTGGTTTTATTAGTATATTTGGTAACTATAGTGTATTAGGTAACAATTGCTGAATAACAAATCACTCAGTTTAGCATCTTAAATGTAAATATATATGACCTCACACAGATTATGAAGGTCAAGAATCCAAGAGTAGCTTAGCTAGTTAGTTCTGGTTTAGGCAGGAGGTGATAATCAAGCTGTAGGCCAGAACAGCAGTATATGAAGTCATAACTGGAGCTGGAGGACACACTTTCCAGCTCATTACATGGCTTTTAGCAAAAGGCTTCAGTTCTTCACCATGGTGGTCTCTCCAAAGGGTTGTTCACATTATCCCTTCCTTTAGAGCAGGTGGTCTGAGAGAAAGAGAGCAGCCAAGGTGGAAGCAACAGTGTCTTTTCTAACCTGATCTCAGAAGTGATTTGCCATCACTGCTGCCATATCCTGTTGGTCACATAGAGTAGCCCTAGTATGATGTGGGAAAGAGTGTGAGTATTTGCATTCACAAAAGTGTGAATACCAGGGAGGCAGGAAGCACTGGGGAACAGTTGGAGCCTGCCTACCACAATTGGGATAGATTTTTAAACATTGTCTTAGTAGGAATTGTGGAGGAGATAGAAAAGTGAACTTGTCTGACAGAAAAGCGAAATTGTCTCATGTTGCTTGCCTAATGGGAGAGACTTAAGTCCAATAAATCTGATAGTGGTGACACTGAGGAGATAGAGTTGGCATTTCCAGTTGGAAACTAATAAAATAAGTAAAGGGAACCGTTTGAAGGGGATAATCACAAATTTGAACCAGAAAGCACGAGGAATCCTTTGGAGGATTTTGTTTGATGGTGTAATGTTTAAGTAATTTTGAAGGAAGTTTACTTAAACTGTGCACACAACTGTATAGATTTAAAAAAGAAAACTTTTTCAGAAGTGATGAAGGGGGATGTGGAAGTATTCCTCCAATGCTACTGTTGCGAAAACCACTCTTGAGGTTTTCTATTTGGAAAAAAAAAGTGATTTCTTAACATACCTGGTTTGGTTTCCAGCATCCAAGCCGTGCATGTAATTTGCTGCTTAAATCTAAAATAGTTCTCCTTTTAATTGATAAGTTATACCTCTGAAGCCTCCAAGATAAAACTAAGTGTAACAAGAATCTTATGAGATGGATAAATATATTTCATCACTCTTAAGAAATTGTTCAAGAAGAATTAAAATTTATTGGAGAGAGAGGGCCTTCATTACAGGTATAAGGTTAGGTGACTTTAAGGTTTATATTATGGATGCTTTAAGTAAAAGATAATTTAAATGTTAATTATATTAAAGCATGTGATTCTTTCAGAAACAAAAATATAAAAGTTATAATGTTTTATAAATTTTTTATAATAATATTTCTAGAAATCAAAGAGTAATCTTGGTTTTTCTTTTTCTTAAATTACATGCAGGGTCTGAGGCTTCCGGACCCCAACTTTTGCCAGTGAGAGCACTAAATGAAGTCTTCATTGGGGAGAGTCTGTCATCCAGGTACTTTTAAACCTGTGATCTTGAATATGGAATTTAATATTACAGTGCTTTTGGATATTTATTCAATTTCTACAACCTGGCTAATATTGGTGAATAACTAATATTCTGTAAGTAATGGCAGTTCATTATTTAATGAGATATTTCCAAAACCTTCATAGATGTTAATATGTATTAAGGGGAAAGAATGTTCTATGACAAAAAAGTTTGTGAATCCCTAGATTAAATAAAGTTATTGCACTGCTTCCCAGAGCCTTTGATCTGTTTCTGTAGATGCTTTAATGTTTTATTTTTATTTTTTGTTTTTTAGAGAAGGCATCTCACCATCTCTATATGTTGCCCAGGTTGGCCTTTAAATTTGGGCTGCAGCTATCCTCCTTCCTCAGCTTCTTGAACAGCAGGGAATAGACATGCATGCCACTGTTCCCAGCTTATATTTAAGAGAATAGTATACTAAGTATAAATTTGCAATTGATAGAGAACTTTTATAGGCAGTTCATATTAAAATTCCCTGTCAGTTGGTATTAAAATTTCCTATTAATTGATTTGTTTGCCTGCTTGTCTTTATAATTTGTTTGCTTATTTTTATGCAGGATCCAATTAAGGATCACACATTGCATTTGGCCATCGTGGCCTTTTAAAATTCAGAACACTTTCTTAACTCCATCCTTTTTTGTTTTTCATGATATCAGTATTTTTGAATGGTCTAAGCCAGTTGGATTGCAGAATATTCCTTATTTTAAATTTGTATGATTTTTTTTTCATGTTAAGATTCAGACTAGGCATTTTTGACAGAAATGTTCCATAGGTGATATTGTATCCCTTTTAGTGTAATACATCATAAGGCAAATGCCTGGACCATTCAAGATTGTAACCATTATTGCAACAATTAAGGTTAATGTAGTTCCTTATTAGGAGTATAAAAATGTGTGTGTTACATTACTGGTGGAATCTGTTTTGTCGGACTTGAATATAACTTAGGCTTACATTATCAACAGAATTTTTTTGCAAAACATAGTTGTGGAACATAATGACAAGCTATAAAATGACTACAGTGATGTAAAGTTAACTCTCGGTAGTACTTTAGAACTTGGTTTCTCATCCTTGTAGATGTAAGTAAATTAAGGGTAGAAAATTAGAGATGAGTTTTATTTCCTACTTTACTGCTGCCAGAACCATGTGAGTGACCCTTTTAAAGGTTATGTTATTGGATCCCTTGTTTACTACGAGTTCCATAAATTCTGAAATTTTGTTTGCTGGCAGTCATACCTTTTCATAAGAGCTTTAATTATAGTGAGAAAAACTTGTCTTAACTAAAAAAGATATCCTCATTGTACCAATGATTCAACTCTGGTTGTGTTGAAAAAGAATTGAAGTTTGATTCAGCAGAATGGTTTGAATAGTTTTTTTGATTTGCAGTTTTTTTTTTTTACATAATATTTGCTTAACAAAACTACATCATGCACGTGTTGTATGTAATATGTGAGTCACCAGGCATGTAAAGATGAATAAGAAAGGTAGTGGTATCTTAATTTTTTTGGAGAGTAATACATAATTTTGAAAAGAATTAAAATTTATTACTCAAAGAAAATATTTAGGAAACAAAAAACAGTAAAGTGTAAAAATAAATTTTAACACAGCAAGACTTATGCTATAATATAAAGTTTTTTTTTTCACTACATAAAAAGAAGCAATACAGACATGAATTATAGATACTATATGGTAGATGAGAGAAGAAAGAAAATGTAACTCTACTGTTACAATCTAGTCTTATTGCTAAAGACGTAAGATAGAGAAGAGAGGAAGAACTTTAAAAGAGATTGGAGAAAGTCTACCTTAAATAGATGCAATGATAAGAATGTTTTGTGAGTTTATCCTTACTCCAGAGAAGCCATTGAATGAATTATTTTATTCTGTTTGTATATTTTAAAGGTAACTGCTGAGAGCTTCTAGCTTTGCTTTGTAATTTTGTACTTACTAAAAAATTAAATAACTTATAAAAGGAGGAAAACTGGGATCAGTTGATAGATTACGAGGGAGTCAGTGAAGTTTCATGAGGGCATTTTCAATCGAATGCTTTTATTTTCTGTGGCAGTAGTGATCTGGTTCATTTATCTCATAAATAACGTCTGATGCTGCTGCTTTTTGTGTTCTTTGACGTCTCACCTTATGTTTTTACTAAGTAAAGACAGCAATAGATTGACTTCTGACGCTATTGAAAACAGTTTACTACAGGTATTAGAACTTACTTTTAAAGATTTTATGACATAGACCCTTACACAGAAAGGAAATGAATATGTATCGGATGTCTGCTAAGTGTCAGGCACTGCGTTTATTGTGTATGCTATCCCATTTAATGCTCATAGCAACCCTGTGAGAAGGGTAGTTGTATTTATTAGTGAAAAAATTCAGACTTGGAGAGTTCAGATAACTAGCCCAAGGTCATATAATTAGCTAGCATCAGAACTGTAATATAAACCTGGTATTTCTGATTCTAGATCCTGTATTAAGGCTTTACTATGCTCTGAAAACTTAAGTGCCTTGCTTGAAAAATATGAAGTGCAGCAATATTATTCCTGCCTCATTTATAATGTTCTTAGATTTAAGAACATTTTAAAGGCCCAATTTTGTTTTCTTTTCTCCTATTTGTTCTAACCTAGAATGTCTTATTCTTGGGCTGTAGCAGTGGACAGTTTAAGAAGAAGTATACCCACTCTAAAGGGACTGTGAGTTTTATTGCTGCCTTAAAAAAATAATTTTCCTGAAACAAAAATTCTGTGAATTGACTAATCTAGATAAACTTGCATGTGAGAATGGCACTAAATTTGCTCATTATTTTGGGCTCAGCATCTCTCACCTGACTATACTTGTCTTTCCCCCTGGCTCTGCTTCTTTTCTACCCACACCCGCTATCCTCTAATCTCTTGTTTCTACTTGATTCTGGCCTAGTAGTAGCCATTTCTATGGATTTGGCTGGCTTGTCTGTACATAATAGGCTCCTCATGTGTGTTTTCTAGGAAGATACAACAAAGCTATGACGTAGATGAAATGTGATTATTAGGCCTGCTATCTTTTATTTTTAATAAGAAATTCTGACTTTAGAGAAAAAATGTAAAGGAGTTGTATTATGCAAAACCCTCACAAATTAAGAGCTTACAGGAGAAATTGAAAAGGTTAGGATAAGAGATAAATTATCCATAGTGTTAGTGTTTACTAGCATGTCCAGTAATTATTATTTTGAAAAGTTGTATTTTATTATGGCTTTGTTTTAACTTTTTATTTGCTGGAGAGAAAAATTTGGTGTTGATCAGTGACACCGTTATTTTAAGAAAGAGTTTACAAAATAGGCTTTTAGACATTTCTAAAGTTCTTTGCATAGTTACAAATCATTTATGCATTCATGGAGTTAAAGAATAGTGCCATTTTTGCTTTTGCCAGAAAACCCATTTGATTTAATATTTATGAAATATTTTAAGAAATGTAAATCTCAAGAAATTTATAGTTCTGGTTTTATTTCTAGTTTTGTCCACTAATCCAATATTAGTTGAGAATTTTTTTTAATAGCTTTATACTCCAATCTCTATTAGCTTACTACCAATTCAAAAGATACATTGGTGTGTAATTTGAGAAATTAGAGTTTAGTAGAAACTGTTAATAATTTGAAGAATTAGGATCAACTTTAAAATATATCAAGGACTAGGCACAAAGAATGAAACTCACTTAAAAATAGTATTTTCTTTTTTGAATTCTGCAATGAGGCTCTGTGTATGTTAGATTCCATAAGAGCAATAGCAGCAAAGCTGGCTAAAAATTTGCAAGAAGCTCCTATTTGAAATATTAAAGTATTGATAGAAAGGAATATATAGATCAGACAGGCAGGCATACATGTAGTTTTTTTAATTTCTTCTAACATTTTCACTTAATCAAATTGGAATTAGCATCATGATATGTGTGCCTACTAAGTCAAGTATTTCTTGGGTAAGCTGACTTACTTAGATTTCCTTAGTTCTGAAGAAGACTATCTTATTTACTGTGAACCATAAGCTCAGCGAACAGTTTTATATTCTCAATTCACAGGGCTTCCTACTATGAGATTTCGGTTGATGATGGTCCATGGGAAAAACAGAAGAGTTCAGGGCTCAATTTGTGTACTGGAACAGGATCAAAGGCCTGGTGAGTAACTTGGGTTGTTGCTTATCAAGTTTTGTAAAATATTTTTAGTAATGTAATGTATCGGCACATCTAAGACCTCTAATGTAGAAGAGGTGGCCTGGTGGTGGTATGTAGGCAGACCAAGTTTCAATTCATCATTTGGGTCTAGTAGTCTTGCCTTGACTTCTTGGATTATAGTTACAACCTGGATTTGGTCATTATTGAGCACTAGGTTTGTAAAGCTAAGGAAATGAGAAGTGGTTTGGGGACTATCTTTACTTAAAAATGAAAAATATTTTAAATAATAGGAAATGAATACAAAGTGCAATTAAAAAAATAGGCTGGAGGTTTAGCATCCTATGTCCTGTTTACTCTATAACCTCCCTCTGGGTAATCTCTTCTACTTCTTGGTACATTCCACACAGATGCCTCCCAAACATACTCTCTCCTGAGTACAAACTCATATTCTAAAATTACATGGCAGGTAGGATGTTAGTAGCACTTCAGATTCAACACATCCAAAACTGAATCTATTGTCTTCAGTTTTTCTTTATATTGCTTAATACCAGCAGCATTTACCCTGACTCCACACTCTAGAGAAAAAAAGCAAAAGATGATTTCTCAAAACCTTGTTCTTACCTTTGGAGTTTTCCATTCTTCATACTCCCCTCTATACATCCCAGTCTCTAAATCCTGTTAATTGTACTTCTGAAGTCTTAGTCTACTTTTTTGAGTTTATGCTGCTGCTGCTTTGGTCCAAGGCTGCACCTTTTTAGTGAATATTCTTTGTGCCTGACCTTTTATTCTTCAGGCTGTCATCTACACTACAACAGAGTAATAGTTCTAAAATGTAGATGAATCTGACTATCTCTCTTCTCTGCTTTACGACTTTCATTGACCTCTGTTCAGATTGCTTAGTCTATCATTTGAGGCCCTTTAACATATGACCTTAGTTACCTTACTGGCCTTATTCCTTACTACCCTTACCCCCACCTATGGCACACTAGAAACATCGCATCTACTTGCAATTCTCAGCACACTTCTTCTCGCTTGGCTTTTTATTTTTGCTCAATGCAACTTCTTCCTGCTTTGAATGCCTAAACACTCTACTTTCTATCCACTGGCTAAAAAACCGGTCTTCAAATGTCATTCTCTTTCGCAAATTTTTAACACTCACTGCTTTCTTAAAGACAATGAATTAATCCTTTTTTATCCTTCTCTAATACTTTTTCTCATAGAACTATTATAGCCCTTATTATATTATTAGTTATCTAATGTGCTACTACCAAGCTAGTTAAAGCAACTTTATAGATTTGGGATGGTGATAGAAGATTTTTTTTTCCTGCCTAATCTTTTATGTGCACAGTACCTTATATATATTCACTCAAATATTTTTGAGTAAATGACTATGTGCTCACAATTGTATGTAGCTAAAACAATGCTTATCAAATGTTTAAATTTGGATATTTTAATTTAGAATTTTGTTTCTTACTTGTTTAGCATGACTTCTTAAACGATTTTGCTATAAACATTTTTTAATATGTATGAGAATGAGAAAATAGTGTAATGAATCTGCACATACCAGTAGCTAGTTTCAGTAATTATCAACACATGGCCAATCTTGGTACCTCTGTACCCCTACCTATCTACTTTTGTTCTATTTATTTTGAAGTAATTTTCAGATATTATTTAATTCATAAGTATTCAATAAAAAAATCTTAGTCTTAGCCAAATAAATAGTCTTTTGGAAAAAATAAGTATCATTTAAAAAGATAGGTTAATAACTTATTTTCCTGAAAGCTGATGACAGGAACATTTCTAAAATGAATTTTCCAATAATTGTTTGAAAAAATTTAATCCTTTTAATATGTTGTAAAATTATTTTGTAACCATCTCATAGATTAAACTGAAAACATTACAGTTAACAGCTTTCATTTATCATGATAGCGTCTTTCCTATTGAACATGCTATGCTACTTGTTGAAAACTGGAGTAAAATTAGAAATAGAAATGGAAATTTCTATTAGAAATAGAGATTTTCTTTATCCAGTATTCTTACCATAAAAAATGGGCAAAGTGGTATCACTGAGAAGAGTACTGGCCCGGGAGTTAAGAGACCTGATTAAACCATGGACTAGCTTTACAACTATGTACAAATTTCCTTGTCTGCAAAATGCAGGAATTGGAACTGATAAAATAGTAAGATTACTTTGCCTTCTGAACTTCTGTGATTCTGTGTGTTTATGTTTTGTGCATTGTAATACAAGCTATCAGTTATATTGCCCCTGCAACTTTGTACTGTGCTAGGTACTTCTATACATTAACTAATCCTTTTAGAAATCCTGGAAGAAAGTAGTAGCATCCCCATTTTATAAAGGAGTAAGTTAAGGATTAGCAAGGATAAATATTTAGGCCATAATTATACAGTAAGTGAGAGTCAGAACCTGGATATAAGCACAGGTATGCTGGACTGCAAAATCAGTGCCCTTTTCACTGTCATTACTACTTGTGCTGCTTCACAAGGGAAGGTCAGCTTTTAAATGGAGAAGGAGAGGGGTTCTGAGCTGTTAATAGAGGCCACATAGTTGAAGGAAGAATCACTAGGTTGTATTGAAGATTTATCAAGATAAATTTGCTAATTAATCTCAGTGAAGTAGTACTTATGCTAGAGGCAGTGGGGCTTCTGTCTGGGGAGGAGTGTAATTTTGATAGTTCAAGTTTTCAACCTTTCAGAGCATAAGCAATGACAGCCACTACCATGCTTTTAAAGCATTCCTTGCCTCCCAGATGCACCCAGCAGTTGATTCCTGTGTTGATGTTGCGTTTCAGTAAGTATGGCTTAGATTAAAATCTCAGCCTTCTCTATGTTGCTCATTAAATTCTTCTATTATTTCCTGTTCTCTAGCATAAAAGTCTTTTTCACAAGCTGTACCTTATCCCTGCCACCTTGGTTACTCAGTCTCTTCTCTACCAGGCCCCATGCAGCTTGCTTGCATCTAACATGTTCTCTCTTCTCCCATTACTGATGATTCTTTTGCTGTGATTGCAATTCACATTCATCTTTTGTCCTTTTCTCTTTTAAAAAATGTAGGAAGAGAAGGGAAGCCTAGGAGCCTGAGGGGCTGGGGGAAAGCTATATATTTCTATAAATTAATAATTTTTGTTTTTATCATACTACATCTCTGAGTACATATTTTGTTCCAAGCTAATTAGTTGATCTTGTTTAAATTCTCACAAATACTCAGAAGTAGGCGATTTTATTTTCATTAGTAGAATCCAGAAAGTCTCATAGGTTAACTGACTTTCCTAAAGCTATGAGGCTAATAAATGGTGAAGTTGTGATTTAAATTTTAAACTTAACTGTAAACCGTAGACCCCTGAGGAATCATTACAAAGAAAATATTAGAATAGTCTGTTTTTCTCTTTTAATTCTTGATAGAGAGGGGCTTGTTTTCTTGTATTAAATTCTTTAATTTGTCTTTGTTTTCAATATGAAATGTGGAAATGTGTGAGTCAGGGTTAGCTATTTGTTATAAAAGATAAACCACCAATCTCAGTGGCTTCACACAGTATGAGTCTATTTCTTGTTCTTGCAAAGTCTGCAGTGTAATTAGCAAGTGGCTCTCTTGTAAGTGGTTATTCAAGGAGCCAGGGTCCTTCCATCACGTGGCTCTGCCACCTTCTAAACATAGCTCCTCCAGTTGCTTTGCTACAGAAGGTGGAAGAGCATGGAGGGTGCCCATGGGAGGCTGTGAGCCAGGCTTTGAAGTACTGTTCATCATGTCCACTCTGATTCCATTAGCTACAACTCAGTCACGTGACTATATGGCATGAAGGGCTAGAAAATACAACCTATGCATTCAGGAAGAAAAACAGGTTTGGGGAATAGCTATTTCATCTCTGCATCTTCAAAAATTCTTCCACGTGACGTGGGATATAAGGGTGGTATTACATAGCAAATGTCTCTGAATTGTCCCGTTATCATGTCAGTTCTTTGTTCAGTGGGGAATAAGATTTACTGCATACACTGGGAGAAGTACTGCAGAGCCAGATCATTGTGTGTTTCAGTTAGTTTCTTCTTAAGATTGTTCTCAGTCCTTTTTCTTCTTACATGCTGTACTACCAGACTTAATTAAGAATGAAGATATGTTTTTAGGAGACAGAGTTTTAGTAGTTGATGAAGATGTAATAACACAGTTTGCTTCCAGTTTGTTAGTAGAGGATATGTCTGATTTTAAATGAAAATTCTTAGAATGGTGAAGGTTGTAGACCTGTCGTGCTTTTGCATTTCTCCAAACGCGAAGAGTATAGGTTAGCAGGTATAAGAATATCTCCTACTCTCCCTTCCCCAAAAAGTTAAGAACCAGTGATTTAGGTTTAGAGTTGTGTTAACTCATAGGTTATTCCTGTTCCTTGGGATTATCTATTGAGATCATGTATGAAGAGTTATGAGGCAGTAGAAGAATTCAAAATTAATGGGAATATATATATTTTTATTTATATATTTTATTTATATATGTTTTTTAAAAACGACCTTTTTTAAGTGATCTTTATAGACCCCAGGACAGAACTGTTTTGAACAGTTATCCATGTTTGTATTAATGCTTGTTTTTTAGTGGTTAAGCAAGGCATTGCACATGTAAAATATTTCTTACCTTCAAGCAAACTATAATTTAAAGAATACTTGTCTATGTTAGAAAGTACAAAAATGTATACAGCAAAAAGCTAGTCTCCCTTTCGTTTCATATCTCTAGTACTTATACATTCATATTCTACATTCATAGTACTTCTAGTAGATTCTAGTACTTCCTAGTACTTCTACATTCATCTCTACAGTCATATTGTATATCTATTTGTTTTTAAAGTGAAACAAATATATACACTGTACAATGCCTGTTGTTTTTTAACTTAATATTTTGGTCATCCCTACTTAGCACATATATTTGTATTATTTTAAATATAATGACTAATTATAATATATTTAATCAGCTTTCTATGGATACATATTTGAGTTGTTCTGCTGTTATAAACAGCTTTTCAGCTAATATTTTTTACCTATCTTTTGTATTGTAGTTGGAAGTGTTTTTCAGGTTAAGTTACTAGATTGAAGAATATGTTCATTTTAATTTTGTTAGTGCGTAATTGCTCTCCAACTGCAATATCTCTGTTCCCATCAGTGTATGAAAATATTTGTCTCATCATATCCATACTAGTACATTATTTACCAGTTTTTAACTTTGTTCATTTAGAACTTTTTCCAATTACTTTTTAAGAATTCTTTATATTTTAGGTAGGTTGTTCCTTTTTGATTTTTAGCATATTTTTAGAATTCAAACTAAGAATTATGTGATTTTTGTTTCTAGGTCATTCAATATTAACAGGGTTGCAACTCAGGCTGTAGAGGATGTTTTAAATATTGGTGAGTACCAAAACAGCTATTACAGTAGTCCCCTCTTATCTGCAGGGGACATGTTCCAGGACCCCCAGTGAATACTAAAACCTTGGATAGTACCAAACCCTTAAACCATTAATTTGTTTTTCCTGCTTCACAATATCACAATATCACTTAGCAACCCCAGCATATGACCTTTTTCTTTGAGAACTTTCACCTTTTCATGTAAGGAAGCATTTTATGGCTTCTGTTTGGTATATCTGATTTGCCAGCATCACTACTTGTGCCTTGGAGCCATTATTAAGTTAAATAAGGGTTACTTAAACACAAGCACTATGATACCATGATAGTCGATCTAATAACCAAGTCAGCTACTAAGTGACTAATGGACCAGTAGCATATACATAATGGTAAGCTGGGCAGAAGGATGACTCACATCCCAGGTGGGTTAAAGCAGGACTGTGTGAGATTTCACCATGCTATTCAGAATGATGTGCAATTTAAAACATAAATTATTGATTTCTATAATTTTCCATGTAATATCTTTTGTATGATGGTTGTCTGCTGGTAACTGAAACTGGAAGAAAGTGAAAGCATGGAAAGCAAAAGTGCTAATGGGGGGGGTACTGTTTATTAATAATGTCTACATGTTATTTTATATTAGCTATTGTTATATAGCATATATATTTATAACATATATAAATTTTAATCATGATACTTTACTCCTTTTTCAATAGCAAATCGACAAGGTAATTTGAGTCTTCCATTGAACAGAGAATTGGTAGAGAAAGGTCAGTGACAAATGATAATAATCCGTTACAGTTTAGTTCTGTTTCAGTTTTGAGGATGATAGTGTAAAGTGTTGTTTAATTAGCAAAGTACTTTTTTTGGACTCAAACATGCTTTTAATACAGTATCCCCTTAAGTGTTTTTAAGCAATATAAGGATTAAAGTTGGATTTTTGGGCCGGGCGCGGTGGCTCACGCCTGTAATCCCAGCACTTTGGGAGGCCAAGGCGGGTGGATCACAAGGTCAAGAGATCAAGACCATCCTGGTCAACATGGTGAAACCCCGTCTCT